GGTTCTCTGGGTCCCTGCAGGGCCATTTCAGTGTATTTGCTGGCCCCCACCCTGTTCTCCCACCTGTTCTCCTGCCTCTCTGCAGGACTTTCTGGGATTAGGATTTAGCAAGCAGTAGCACAGAAGCAAAATGCAAACTGACCACTCTGCCTGTTCTTCAATGGGAGCCCTCCTGCTAAAAATGGCCAGAGACACTCCAGCTGCATCCCAGCTCCCTTCTGTCCACTGCAGCAGGAGGCAGAGTTGCTGGGAACAAACAATTTTCTCCTTGAGAGATGTCGTGCTATAACTTCTTCCTTACTGCAGGGCATTCCCTCTCCTCCACTTGTGGTGCCTCTGTGAAGCTCCATCCCAGCCGTTGTTCGAGTCAGCTGGGCCATGCACTGGAGCAGGTCTCTCGCTCCCTGAACTCGTCTCTGAATGCCATCAGTGGCACGTCACCATTCTCTGTCGAGCCCCACGGTGGCACCATCCCTGCTGGCCAGGAGCAGCTCTTTCAGATGAAGTTCTCTCCGGTGTCCCTGGGGGACTTTGAGAGCCATATGCTCTGCAGGTAGGAAATGCCCTGGCACTTTTCAGCTCATGCTGCTGATGGATAGTCATGGTAGTGCCTCTGGGATGGGTGGGGTGAGAATCTGGGGACAGCCAGCCACAGAGAGAGAGCAGAACCAACCAACATGCAGGAGTAAAGGTGATCATCCAGCCTTGGCAGAAGCAGGTATGGAGGCACTGGGAAAAGACATTGCATGAAATATTAAGCTCCTGTAGGGATCTCTCTGGAATGAGAGGTCAAGAAAGGCTACCAAGAGGCCAGCCAGTCCCTAGCTGTGCTCCCTTATCAGTCAAGTATGGCCTCCTTATCTAGAGAGAAACCTGTGCACTGCAGCTGGTCTCTAGACACATCACTGGTCATGTTTGCGCTGTTTCTGCTATCTCCATGGCAGGGAATGCAGTTCTGTTTCATTTGCTGCAGAGTGCTTGCATGGAGAGAGGGTGCAACAGTACATGCTGTACAAGGAGACAGGCAAGCAGCTGGCTGTCTGGAAATGTTTGCCTTGCTAATATCAGTCCGTTTCTTCCTAGTATTCCTAACCTGAATCCAAACCAGAAGTGTCCAGAGGTGGTTGTGAAGGGGAAAAGTCTGATGCCAAACTGCCACTTTGAACTAGAAGACTCTGATTACCTCACTGCAAACAGGCGCAACCCGAAGTTGCCGGACCCAAGGGGGACAATGTTAGATCTCAACACAAGAGTGATTGAGTTTGTGGCAGTCGGAGTGTGCAGCAAGAGCAGCAGGTAGGTGTGGGTGTGGCTTCTCTGGCTGATGGTCTCCCAGTGATCCCCCTTATCCAGAGAACCTCTCCAGCTCCTCTTCCAAGCCCCAGCATACATCTGTACCTTGTCTGTGATCTGCTGACCCTTGGCCAACAGTCCGTTCTGGGGCTGGAACAAGCTGGTCAGTGAAGAACAACTAGCCAATTTTTGGTTCTCTTTGTCCCTTTCCTCAATAGTGTGGGTCAGTTTGGGAGGACCATGTATCCCAAGCTTCTGCTTCGGGATACAAAGCAAACTTTGTCCCTCTAAAGAACATTCATGCTCCTTTGAGATTATCAACTGGACAGGGTCAACAAAGGCTGCAGCCTTTGAGAGCTGCATCTGGAGAGCACTATCTTCCAAGAGAATCTTGCTGGACTTGATTTTACTGTTTTCAATTGATCTTACCATGTCAACATGCAAGAGTTCGGATAATTACTTTGCTAATTTCTCTGTGGATAGCTATTAATTTTTAGCCACCTGAGAGACAAACAGGGTCCCTAGAAAGCAGGTGAAATGGTTGTTCTCCCAGCATGGTTCCCAGTATGAAATAACTCCTTCCAGATGGTGTCCAGGACAGGCAGTTCCTGATGCCTGCTACAGGACAAGAGTTGTTCACATCCCAACACCACCTTAGTAGTCCATTTTGGTTTGTGTTCTCAGGACCTTCACGGTTACAAACCCAACCAGTTATGCATACTCCTTCCAGTGGACTTGCCAAGACCCTGAAGCCCCACCAGGACAGGAGGCTTTCTTCTGCCTCACAGAGAGAGGTCAGATCCAGCCAGGGAAGAAAGCAGAGGTGGGTGCAGAAAATTAAGAAGGTAGATCCATAGATCCACTACACATGTATGCCACTTTAGTACTGGATGTGTCTACACTACTGGACATTCCCTCTCACTGCGAGCTTGCCAAGACCATGCAGAAACCTTTGACTGTAGTGTAAATGAGCTGGCAGATGAACCTGTTCTCACTCTGTACCCCACATCTGCCAAGCTTTAGCCACAGCTGCCTATCTCTGTGCTCACTGCAGCATAAGGTAGAGAGGTTCCTTGGGTTTCTTGGTGATGTAAACTGCACACACACACACTCCTTACCCTGCCAAGGGCAGCAACTTTCCTTCATTTGCCTCTTTCTTCCGCAGATGAAGTTCCAATTCATCCCCCAGCACCTGGATGTGACAGAATCATTCTGGATCTTTACAATCCCTGAGCAGAGCATTTCAATCCCAGTTCTCTTAGTGGGCAATGCCAGTGACCCACTCGTGACTCTGGACAGATCTCACCTGAACTTCCAGTTGCTGTTAATCGGTGAGCACCATGGTTATACCTTGCACACTCAGATGGGGTCCAGCACTGCTGTTGTTCTAGCAGGCTCCAACAAAGAAGCTGGAAATGGAAACTGGCACTTGTGAGCAGATCATCCAGCTCCTGGCACCCAAATGTATGAGGGGGAGGAAGGCATGTGTCAAGGACAAGGCATGTGGTTGAGGCTATTCCCAAAAGGGGATTTGGGGGTGAGGCAGGGGAGTCCAGAGGGTCCCCTTGCATGGAGAGAGGGTACAACAGTGCGTGCTGTACAAGAAACATGTTTCCATGTTGGCATTCTGAGTGTGCCATGCTGCAGGCAATGGTCCTCACTGCAGGTTGCCTGCTGTGCTCAGCTGGCAGGCAACCTCCAGTGGCCGGAGGAACAAATGGTTTTCAGCAGCTACTTTGTCCTCTCTGCAGGGCATGAGGTGCACCAGACTATGTATATGATCAACAGTGAGAAGGAAGCCTTCAGCTTTGCTTTCAGGGAAAGCTCTCTCTTCTCAGAGGGATGCAATGCCTCCGTGAAAATAGAGCCCCTGAAAGGCTCCATCGCTCCCCTTTCAAGGTAACAGAGCTCACAGGTAACATTCCCTCTCCTGCATGCCAAACATTGCACTGCCATTTTGCTTTTGAGGCTTTTTCCTCTTGGTAATCACCAGGTGCCTCTCAGCAATAGCAGGCATCTGCCTTGTTTCATCCTTTCCCAATGGGGACACTGTGAAACTGCAGGTTTCTTGGTAAAGTGGTTGCATCCAGGTTACCCCAGTCTCCTAGGTTCCCTTGCTGGAGAAATCCGGGCTTTAGATCTTCTAGTTTTGATGACAAAAGCATGTTTTGGGGTTTTAACCCTGTGATCCCCTGAGCCAGCAGCCTTAAGTGTGCAAGGTCTACTTTGTTCCCTGTGTTCTTTAGTGACAGAGCCCACCATACAGGGTCTGCAAAGCCAGCAAGAGGAGCAAAGCAAACAAACAGCACTGCAGGTCCATCGTGGGAGCTCAGCAAGAGGCTTACACAGCTAGCTGTGTTTCCTAGGATCCCCTGTCAGAAAATGGATGCACTTCTCTTGTAGACTGCAGCCATGACTTGCAATCAGACACGATCATGAGTTCAAGCAGTGTAACAGGTCACTAGCTCGTCTGCTGACCCACCATGGATGTCCCTGTGCCCGCTCATGGCCCACTCTGGGGTACAGAGAACATGCTAGCTCCAGGCAGCTTTGCTATGGCTTAAAAGATGCTGAATTTTTGCTTGCCATGGGGTGCAAGATAGGAGAGTGTCCTGTATCAGTTACTGTGGCTGAGCTGAGAAGTGGTAATTCCTTAAATCTTTGTAGTTTGGTTGTGTTTGATCACCTACCCAGAGATTACTCACAGAAATTACAGGGGCAGTTTGGTGGCATTCACGCTGAACTGCTGTCATAGGAGCTGGATGATTCTTCTTTGCAAATAGGATGTTACTCTTGTCACATAGATCAGAGAAACTGGGGGTCTCTGAGTACCTTCTTGTGTGTTTGGGACAGAAGCAGGCTCTCAAGGCAATGCTGCCCTCCAGCACATGGACGGGACAGTAAGGTCAGTGTTAGCTGCTTTGTTGTTGTATCCTCTGCTGTTCCATTGCATGGAATCATCATACTCTAAACAGCTTTCAGCAGGGAAAGTGGAAGGCCCTGGAAGGGCAGAATGCCATCCCTGGTTTCTTCCAGGCCCGGGTCTCATCTCAGCCATTGCACAGCTGCTCTCCCATAGAGCAGGCAATGTGGCGCCAAGAAAACTGAGAGACAGTGAACAGAGCAAAAAGGGTCTTTTCTTCTCAGGCTTCCCATTACAGTCTTCTTCATACCAACACTAGAAGGAGAAGTGGTCTTCAACGTCAAGTGTGATGTCAAGAGAAAGACCCAGCCCCTCTCCTTGAACATCAAGGCCACCAGCTACAGCATGAACGTGTCTGTTGGGTGCCAGGACAGCGATGGCCATGTCACTGAGCTCAGTGCACACAAAATCAACGTCATTGATCTCAAGGAGGTGAGCAGCACCAGTTCCCTGAACCATTTGCTCCACAAAGCCCTGCAAGATTGCACCTTAACCAGGAGCTTTGCAAATAGGTTGCAACAAGAAGGAACATTTTTCTTAATTGATGGATACAGTTGGGTCTTGAGAGGAAGGGAGATGGATCTTTCACACAGGTCATTAGCTGCATGGAAAAGATGCAGGAGTACAGGATGGAGGAGCACTTGCTGGACCAGCCAGCAACTGGTGTGTGCTCCAGCCCCTTGTCTTTACCACCTTCTCCCCACAGGTACAGATAAACGAGAACACCAAGTGCATCTTCAGCATCCGCAACAACGGCAGGTTCAGCTTCACCTTCACTTGGGAGCTGTGTGGCCCCGCAGACTGTCAGCAGGTCCTCACCATCACCCCTGGGAGCGGCGCTGTGCAGGCAGAGGAGAGAGCAGAGAGCCAGATGGCTTTTCACCCACGGAAGATGTGCTCTTTAAAGGATGTTAAGCTGACACTGTGGGTGAGGCACAAATATTTAATAAGGAACCTTTGCCTTCC